CAACGTGTGGGAGCCCGGGGGCCGCGGGGGACCGTGCAAGAGCTGGGACGCTGCAGGGACCTGTTGCGCATGTCCCCATGCGGCTGCAGGGAGGCACAGGCCACGGTGGGCACGTGCCGGCTGTGAGCAGCACATGTTGCAGCTGCACTGGAGCCCGTAGGCTGGAAAGGGCTGTGCGCCAGCTGTGAGGCTGCAGGAAGACAGGGGCGGCATCACCAGTGGGTCACAGAGACCCCCATTCCCCAGCTCGGAACCACGTTGCCACTGACCGCAACCCTCTTCAGTGCATCATACAAAATCCTTGGGGTCTGACTCAAACACGGCCAGGGATGGGAGAACAGCAAGCCCATGACCCCACTGGGCGCTGTGCAGGACTCTCCTTTGGGTTGAAGAGCCAGGCGGGTGGTTGTTCACCACCAGGCCTGGTGCTGCCAGAGAATCCCAGGCTGGTCTGCAAATAAATTCAATTGCCCTTCAGCATCATTTCAAACAGCCTCTGCAAGATGAGATTGTAGTGCTTTGCTTAGAAACAGAGGGTACTTTGGGATGGCTTTAGTCTGATTTGTTTATAAATATAGAATTTGCTTCCAGAGCTTGCAATTTGGCATCTTTTACAAGACCTAAATATACTCCTAAAAGGCGTGAACTGTTTCCATAACAAAGCCTTTGAGAACTCACTTGAGAAAATTTAGAGACACATATTGGAAAGGAAAGACAAAGCACTCGATGCCTTGGTATGAGTTTGTTTGCAGTGCCATGGTTAGGTAACACTGGGAAGAGCCTGAGTCTGTCTGATTTCCCCTGTTGAGTACTGATACACATTTATGATCCTCCTGGGCCTTCTCTTCCCTGGGCAAAACCACCTCTCCTGGTGTGACAGAGTGGGTTCCAAGGCCTGAACTGTCTTCGTGGCCCTTTGCTGAGGGCCCACATCTCCATGCTGGAGATAAACCCACATCCCTCTCATGCTGGGGGGCCCAGTCCTGGCCCCAGCATCGCCACCAAAGTCCTGGCAGGGCCGAGGGGACGGGAGGAATCGCTGGCAACACACTTTGTAGCAAAGCCCGTCCCTTTGGAAAGTGCAGTCGCACCGACTCTTTCTCCAGCATTTACTGTATTACAGATTATATAATCTGAAGTGATTTGACTACCCAAAGAGATGTAAAGACTGCATAGTTATCTTCTGCTGAGTGCATACATTTGATCTATTCTAGGCAGATAACTATTTTTAACTGAGGGGCCTGGAAAATGTTATTAAAAAGATGCAAAGGAAACATTGCATTGCAACTCCCCAATGTGCTTTTCCATCTCCTACCTGCCATTTACCAAGGGGCATGAGTGCTCTGTTGAAAAGCAAATGGATATCTTTCCTAGCTTGTAAATTCATTCTGTGATAAGAATACTAAATTATCCTCTCGTACATCAATATTAGCAAAGAATATCCTGCTAGCTAAAAATGCTTATTGATCCCTAGGCAGTCCCTCTGACTTGAGAAAAATCTTAAGCAGCACTTTATACAAATACACTGCTGTTAAATCTCCAGAATCACTTGTGCAAATCCTTCAAAAGGATGCTCATACTGTGAAAAATAAGGTTGCAGATAAGGCATCTGCTCTTTCAGCATGTCTATTCATTTGAATATGCTGCTATGCCTGCACAGTTTAATGTATTATTTTTTTGTTGGTTATACTTGAATACTCTTCAGAGTAAGGTAGCTAAGGGGCAGTGAGGTAAATTCCATTCTTCTCGTGCATCACTAGCACTGTTTAATATCTTCCATGCAGCTGCAAATCTAGTGATTTGAAGGGAACTAAATTCTGCAGAGCATATTCCGTATAATGCAGAGAGCCCAGCTCACATGCTGCTAGCCCCTGATGACTGGCAGCCTTAGAGCCACTTTGTCACTGAAAGAGTTTTAGTGGTGAGTCCTAGCAGAGGGGATGTGTGATAAGTCACCACACGCTGCTTTTACCTCATGACTTTTCTGCACAGAAGCACTTTTTCAGCAACATGTTCAGCACCAGCATCTGAGAAATTCAGCAGTGCAATAGGCAGGTATGTGCAGAAAAATACTGCATTACTCAACCCCCTCCTTAGCATTAACCAACTTACATTTCCTCCAGATGCAAGCCCTCTAGTTACTTAAGGACGGCATGCCCCCTTTCAGTTTGAAAAAAAAAAAAAAACCCACCTTTTTGCAAATTTCCAGCTGCACAAACAGATACAAATTACCAGGGGTAAGCTCATGAAGCAGGATGCTTCGCAGAAGAAATGGATGTTTAAAGTTGAGAACAAGATCTAAAAGCAGAACAGTCCCTAGGGATACCATTAAAGCAAAGTCAACAGAATACAACAAATCAAAGAGTAACTTACAGCCTTTTCTACAAAGCGAATACAGCCTGCATTTCCACCCACACAGTGGATCGGTAACTGGGAAGAAGACAAAGCAGCAATACGAGCGACATGAGACTCTGGAGAAACAAAATATTTCTTCTGTCAACAAAAATATATGCTTCTTTTTATTCTTTAATAAGACTTTCATAATATATTATTAAACGAATCAGAGGAGAGTTACTGTTTTCATTATCTGTTTGCACTAAAGATTATTGGTTCTCTTTGAGACACTTGAGATGTTTAACAGGCCCTGGCTATGACATTTCACTGTACGTTAAAGTCTGTAACTTGTAAACAAAATGTCTCAGTCACAGCATAGTTCAACTTCTATCAATTTCTAATCTGAGTGTATAAAACAACTTCTCCTCATGATCATGAATATAATTTTGCATTCTTCTTCCATGATCTATGAATTTCTTACACTATTCAACTCTCTATAGAAAATGTATTTAAAGTACAACATACTTTTTTTTTTTGTATAGCTTTTACACAATATTGTAACATATTAATTCTGTTTATTTCCATCTACTGAATATCTCGGCTCAGATTCTCTGTGAAAGTATTTGGAATCATAAGGACAGGCAGTAGAAATTACTAGAAAGAGAAACTACAAAACTTACGGAGAACAAAATCCCAGGAATTCAGACCACCGTCAGATAAACTAAAATCACAGCAGTCCTAGAAGAACCTTAGCCCCATCGGAGACTGCTCTGTGGAAAGATCAGGCTTTTTTCAAGCATTCACATCAATTCTTCCCAAAATGCTCTAAGAGGTCAGGAAATAAAGTGAGTACAGAATTTCAAGAGAGAGTTTAAGCCAAACCCAGTCTTTACCGGAGTCTTTTGACTGAAGAGATTTGTATGGTCATGAATTTGGACCTGTATTTTCCTGGAAATGACATGATGTGGACAGAAAGTTACATTTAGATAGAGCATGTCAACATGGGACGGATTCCTAGTACATCCTCTACCTCAAATAGCATATGGGACTATTCCCACCAAAGTGCTTGCCTGAGGGAACTGCTGAGCTGCCGAGGTGATGACGGGACAAGTCTGATCTCTGCCTAGGACCTGAACTGCTCCTTCCTGCAGGTTTCCAGTTGTTCTGCTCTGTCTAGGACAACAGAGCCAAGTGAGGGGGGCATTTCTGCTCTTTTCCCTGGAAGATTGCTCCACAGACAGATTAATGGCATAGTAAGAATTCTATAGTCAAAAAGAGTAAGTAGTTAAAGGAGTTTAAAATTACAGCAGGTATAAAAAATGATTACATATTTTAAGTAGGGGCTAACTACTTGTAGCTATTATTATGGAAGAAATCTTCTGTTATTCAAAGTTACATCACACTGTGTGTCCTATCACGCACCTGTTAGTAACCACAAAACAAGTATACAGCAGAAGAGGGAAAAAAGCCATGTTAATTTATCATTCATTTTAAAATACAAGGATTACTACGATTCTTGAGGAGAGGCAGCAATTTTGGGGGCCTGAGTGCAATTTGTTACGGTTCTTGAGGAGAGGCAATTTTGGGGGCCTGAGTGCAATTTGCTCTTATAATCTGCCTACCTTACTTGTCTCTGCAAGGACAGAAATGCAATGTTTCATGCATTCATAGCATTAATGTATTCTTCTGGTGATCGCTGGGAGGATGCACAGATCAGCTTTGTAAACAGTCCAGCAACACCCATAGTTCAGCAGAACCACTTATCTCAGCCACACGACAGGGTTCACAATTTAGAGCAATAGCAAGAGATCTTCTCATTAATATGCCATAGGCACACAACACAGAACATGCAATAAGGCCATGTTAGGACAAATGCCACCATCAGTGAGTGCTGGGAGTCCAAGTCTCTCTGCGAGCGTTCAGCCTCTCTCTGGATCAAGGCATACTTACTTCTTCCTTAGGGACTGACCATATCTTTTGCTTCCAACAGAATGAAACTGTAATTACACACACCAGAGTTTTACTAGCTATAAGGCCAACAGAAAGTTCCACATGCAGTTATTCACCATCAGATCAGATGCCCATGATGCCGTCACTAAAACATTTGTAACTGTTTATGAATATTTATTAAAAAATCATGCTGGACTTAATATGCTTCCATAAAACCTGCTCTTTTCATCATAAAGTAAGCTTTATGCAAGTAAGCATAGCTTTATAAGTAAGCTTTAAGTTTGTGCAAATTTCTATTATCATTGTTATATAACATCTTGTGCAATGAAAATATACCTAATACACAAAGGTGCCTATGCCACTGAAAATCATTCACAAGATCTATAATCAGTTTGCATCCTGTTTTGTTTTGTGTTCAAGACTCTACTGCACATATTCATAAAATGTCACATATTCCCCAAAATTTGCTTTAAGTCACTTTCCAAAGGAAAAACAGAATTGAACTGCTTGCTGAAGGTTAGAGACCATGCAAAATTCTAATAGAACCTTTGAAGTTAAAGGAAGAACATTGACTACTAGGGAGGGCCCTACAGACTGAGGCAATTAATGAATTTGACTGGTGACTGTTAGTGAAGACATTTTATAAATTTCCAAAATCTGACCATGATAGAAACTCCACATCCACTTCTCAGGATTTGTTTAAGGGTTTAAATTTTTATATGGAAGAAATCAGCAATTAAATATTATTAACTTTGGTGACTGACTATGTTATTATAGGCAGGTCACAATAATCTCAGGGCACGGGACTGCAGAATCTCTGCTATTAGACTGGAGGAGTCTGATTCATTGCAACAGCAAAAGAGATGAAGAATAAGCAGAAGGGCTGCCTGACTCGCAAGCTTGCAGGAAACAGGGTTTATCTGAATCAATGGCTTTGCTCCAAATCAGGCAGGAAACAAACTCTTTTGAAAATGCCCCAAACTGGGAAGTGCCAGAAAGGTCACGTCAGAAACATCAAAACATTTCCAAAACACAATTCCCAAGTTCCCACCCTGCAGCTGATCTGTCCCCCTGCGAAATTTAGCAAATCCCCTGTTGTTGGGCAGTGCTGGGGCTAGACTATCTCACCTCACTGGTTTCTAACACACAAAGCAGAAGCTGCTACCACTCCACTCCTACACGTGCGAGCAGTAAAAGCCTGAGCCTGCCCTTGTGCTTCCTGCATATTCACACACACACAGAGTGACTGCAGCAGCAGCAAGGCACTAGCAAAGAGTCCTGGCAGCCACCGACAACCAACCCGTACAGACTCTTTAGATTACAGGAGGTGTAAGGATAGGGATGATCTAGATCCATGGTTATCTTCTATGAGTTCTTCCTTTTAAAATGACCCTGAAGACATTGGCCTATATTTATCAAAAGATTGTCAATGAATTTGGTATATTTCATTCAGAGCTTTAGGCTAAGGTACCTTACTATCCTCTGAAAAGGTGAATTTTACGCTTGTAAGAAATGCTAGGGTTCTATGGTCCCTTAAGTCTGTGCTAGTAAAGGTATCAACTGCCGCTGTAGTTTTCAAGAAAACAAATTTTAGAGCAGCAACTCTAGAAATTATAATCTGGGATTGTAAACTAAATCCTCTCCATGCAAACATTTCAATGATAAAACTGTAAGAACAGGAAAACCATCTCCTTTATTAAAAATATACATATATGTGATTCCAAACATGTTTTTTGAAAATACCAAACTATGACATTTTTTTTTCTCTGCCAGAAAAACGATCACATCTTTATGCAATACTTTGCTTTCTCCCTTCCTTTTTCAATCTGAAATGTCAGCTATTTCAAGTAAAATCAGAAAATTACTCAAATACAAATCAGAGAACTTCAATGCCAGAGTACTTATAAAAAGGCACATTCCAACTATATTTGCAGGTTTTCTATTAGGAAAACTGACCAAACCCTTCCAAATGTTTTGCTGCTTAAGGACACAAGCACTAGCATGTTACTGAAGTTCAGTACTCTGCAAATGCAGTTGTTACATCTGCAAACACTAAGACATTATGAAACGAGAAAACTATAATTTCACTGAAGAAAACGCATGTCTAATTGTCACAGGCGAATGTTTTATCTGTAGAGAAGAAACCGGTATATACATTATTTTTATATGGTCTTCATGTTCCTTTTGATGATTTTATTAGTTTAATAGGATTTAACAGTCAATCTAAAGCCTAAATATTAAATGTCATAAGGGAAGAAAATTGTATCATGTTCTTAAAGTCAGTCAGATAAACAATACCTTCTGACTGCGATATCACTGTGTTTCACAATGAACAATAAAACAGAAAACATTCACCTGTTTTCATATTCAACATACTTGCTAAGATTCATGTATAAATAGCGGAAAGAACAGAACAGCAATTGCATCTTATTTTAATGTAACAAAATCAAAATTATTCAAATCTGTAAGAATAAAAGTGCTTCTACAGATTTTATGTAGAGTTTTACTGATTTTACATTTGTTTATTATTCTGACAGGCTACAAAACAGTATGATACAAATACAGCCAACACTGAATGGGTATCTCTATTCTCTTGCAAACAAACTGTCACAGCATTATGCTTATTAAACTATCAGAGTGAAATAGTAGACTTAATGACTTCAAACAAACATCTCACAACAGTTATGTTTCAACCATGTTGCAATCAAACCTTTTAAACAGTAGAAATACATACTCCAAACAAAAAACAGGGGACCTAATCTAGCGTTCACTGGAACTGGATCAAAAGATAAAATATAGCTACTTGTTCCTTTCTGTCAGATTCAATCGTCTTTTATTTTCTTCCTATACCCAGCCAAAGATGGACTCCTCCTAGAGGAAAAGAAGGAGACAAAAGGGAATTTGGATATAAAGTGTGCTAAACAAATACTGTTCAAATTCTGTGTGTTGTATGTTAAACTGTTGCAGAAGGATTTAACTCCAAAGGGCACACATCACATTTCTAGACTGCCTAGGCATAGGCCACAACTATGTACATGAAATTACTTTAAGAAGTAAATTCAGAACTAATGGGGAGCTTCCTTAGTACCTAAATATAAATGCAGCCTCAAACTTTGCTTCATTCCCAAGATATTACGCATGTACTTCTTACTCAGACTCTTCTTGGACTAAAGCTACATGTATTTTTGTTTATTAAGCTGTGCTCTTTGCACCAAATACCACTCATGATCATAGCAGAATGTTCTAAAATGAAATCATGTGATCATAAAGATTTTACATTAAATTATTCCTAAACACTGTGGTATTCAGGCATCTGCACTTGTGCTCTGGTGTCTGTTAAGGGGAGATATGAAAAGTCAGCATATGCATATAGGCAAATATCATACTTCAGCAAATTTCAGGCACATTGACTTGAGTTCTTTAACAGACTGAGTATTTTTCCAGGGGTAAAGGAGAGGAAGTTGATGGTGATGCACACCCACACTCCAGGCAAGTCAGCAAAGAGCTATGGAGACCAGGGAGGCAAACAGCTCTGATGGGAGAAGTAGGTAAGAACAGAATGGGAAGAGTCATCAACACAAATACACACACGTTTGAGCCCAATGGCAGTAATACTGAAGACGACAATTGTTACTTATTTGTAATATCAAACAATATCTATGCATCTTTTAATTTTTATTATTTTATCATTTAACTTACTTTATCATTTAAGTGTGCTTGACAGTTAACAGACTACATACATACCCTGTCCAGGTAGAATGCCTCTTTCTGTGAACTCTGGTTCATATCACTGCCTGTGCAAGAATATGATAGACAGGCGCGTCACCATTTTCAGTCATACTGAAACTAGCATTAATTGTAGCTTTCCATGGATTAAATAGGCAGCATTAGAACTCAAGAAGATTTTTGTCTCACAAGAAAACTATTTATAGAGGCAATAAAGTGCAGCATTGGTTTTCTAGTTCTATTAATCTAGTAAAAATTGAAAAGCTGAAGTCAATTAATTCAGATTTGTTGATTCATATCTAAATGTCTGCCAGAATTATTCCATTTGCTTCTCATTTAATGAAAAATTCAAATCTCCTTGATGTGATTTTGTTTAAAATCTGTTAATTAAAAAGAAGATATTAGGGTTGACGCTTTACAAATAAATAGAGCTTTATAGCAGATCCTCACATAAAGCTCCTAAAAATGAGGAACAATTAGGACTGAGCGTAAAATAAGTGCTTGCATGTTTTTTGTTTATTTGTTTGTTTGTTTGTAAGTCAGTGCAATTGCAGATAGAGATAATACTGTTCTCTACTTCCCTTCCCTCCTCCCACAGGATGACAAAAAGAAGTGAGTATAGGAAATGCGACAAGCCCAGTCCGTTCAGTCCCATGATAAGTACAAGCTTGACAAAGTAGCACACTGCATATCTGTAACAAACAGAAAAGTAGATAAGCAGCCCTGTGTTAAGATGGGGAGCCCACCAGGGAGACTTATATCAACAGAATTCTTGCCTTTTCACAAGAACTTGAAATTTCACAGGCAATCACATATTAAAGATTTCTATTCCTTCCTTGTCTCCTGTTCTCCCTCTCTTTAAAAATAAAGAAACAATGAAAAAAAATTATTTTTTCTTTGATAAATGCTAGACTCTACATCTACATTAAGGGCTGTGCACACACATTTCCACAATGATCTAAGCTGTGGGAGGAAGTATATTGCAGGTGCTGGACCAAACCTGTACGGAGCGATGAAGCACAGTTTTGCAGTTTGGCTGCTACAACAGACTTGTAGAGGAACAAGTCCAAAGTGCCTGTGGGGTGAAAGACTCCCCCCTGCAAACCTCCTTTTGCCTGGCAGGAACAGAGTAGCTCAGGAGGAGGATACTCATGCCTGACCCCGTAGACTTCACAGGAACTTACTTGGACCATCACGAGTTAGATACGGTGTCAGAGCTGCCAATATTCACTGTCTTTTATTAATGCAAACACATAAGCAATAGTATCAGTGAACTAAGAACAATATACAGAATCTGGTAGCACTGTCATAGATGAAGAAGGTAAGGAAGATTATTAGATTTGGGAAACGGTTTCTCTGTGAGGAAAGGGTTTTGAATTGGGATCTTCTCAGGCTGAGAGAGAGAAAACTGAGTAGAAATATGGCAGAGACCAATTGAATCATGACTGGCATGTTGAATAGTAGATAACTGATACTCAGCATCCTATAATACCTGAATTAATTGGGTTGCACTCTTTAAGCAAACAGAAAAATAAGTCCTTTTCTACATATACATAAATCATGAAAAAATATTGTTTTAGCAAGCTGTGGAAGATAAAAATACAAACGGGCTAAATAAAAAGATTAGAGAAATAACTTCAGGACAAGTCTTTTGGAAGCTAATGAACAGGGGGCCCAATAAAACACCTGATTTCAGAAAGTCAGTGAAGGCTTTTTTGGAGGGGTTAAAAGCTGAGGGGAGTACCCAGGGAAGAATAATTCCGTACTTCCCCTCTTTCTTTTACTATTTCCATAACATCCACTCTCCATCACAGATTCCTGGAGTAAACGGATTTCCATTCTGAATCAGAATTGCACTTCTTTTGTTCTTACAAAAATATGTTTGACAGACTATTTTCATAGCATGCATGTGGAAATCTAATCAGTATGCAACATGCAAACTTTCACTAAAATAAGATACTGGAAATGATTTGCATACATTTTGGCATATATCCTAACATGCATATATGTGCAAAACACTAATGCAAGCTAAGCAGAAGCACTGAGGGGTGAACATTTGTAATTTCTCTCTTCTGGATTCATGTATTCTCTTCCCTAAAAACTAATCAAATTGTGATGCCAGAAATTCCAATTATGTTTGTAAGCATTCACTGTATTATCTTAAATTGTACAGCAACTACAATGTCTCTAATTGAAGCTGTCTCAATGCAGAGCACCAGTTTTAATTCCCAAGCCATTTTCCAGTAATGAAATAGCTGTATTCAGGGCACAGTATGAGGACATGTTTGATGGTTATTTTAAATTATATTACAGCTACCTTTGGGGAGCATCTAATTTATTTATTAGCTCAATAAAACAAATGTCTATTTTCCAATTTCCCAACGTGAAAAAAAAAGGCAGTATTCACCTGAGTACTTCCACCTGAGTACTGCCTTAGACCAGTCTGTGAATAATAGTTTAATTGCATATTTCATATATTCAGAAAAAAAACTTGCGAACATTTTTATGATCTTTTATGTTAATATTTTTCATGTTACAGATGGCAGCAAACACTTCTTGCACCCTCTCCTCCCACCTGCAACTAATACACTTTCCACAAGACCCTCTGTGGAGTACAAGAGTTATTCACATATGCCTAAAAGTGTTTAAAGTATGTAATGATTCCATAACCTCAGAGTTGTAAAGCATATTATCCAAATCAAACAATCTAATGGACCTTAAATCTAGGAATCTTAAGTGAAGGCATATGCATTTATACCTTGGTTTCTTTATTATAACAAAACAGTACCAGTTCAGTACTTACCTTCTCCATTACACTGACTGCAAGCCATCAGTCGACTTCTGAACTTTTCATTTTCCTCAAGCATTTTTGAAATTACTTTCCACACTCTAAGCCAGACTTTAGACTAAAAGATAAAATCGGACTTTCTCAATACAGCATGTAAAAAAAGGAAAAAAAATATATCAAAACTTCTTCTATAGAACAGGACGTGGAATTCTCCAGGATGACTTTGCAGCCCAGCTTTCCTGCTTAATCTCTCCACAGCAGCTCAGTTCAAACCCCATGCTCAGATTCCTGCTCAGCAATGATCCAGCCTGTTTCCTAGCAAATTAATATTAGTCTTTCTTATAGACACTGATGACCTTTATTTTAGAGGCATAAATCTCCATCTATAGCTGGCACATTTCAAATTTTTGTCATGATAAACAATAAACTGGAACTGTTGGCAACAGCATAAGCATTAAGACAGAGAGGCAAACGAGTAAATATAAATGGCTGTTAACATGCAGATGTTGTGACTTTTGCTGGACCTCATCTATGAAACTGGTTTAAATCTAAAGGACTCCTTTCTCATGGACATTTATTGCTAAAGCATAATACATATGCCTCATTCCTTTTGAAGACTATTTAATGAGCTAGAACAGCAATATTATTGTATGTTATTAGCTCATCTTCTGAAGTCAGTAGTATTTTCCTAGTTTTAAATCAAGTAGCTGTGACATTTCAATATTATAGTCTAGCTGATTACTTGTAGTTCACACATTACAAAATCTCATAATGAGTTACTATTTTAATAAATGTGTTTTTTTAAATTTCAAGCACTTGTTGAACTACTGAACAGGAACAGAAATGCTTTTACGAAATGGTAATTTTATATTGCTACTAGCATAGCGATAATACCTATTACTCTGTCCTTTGCTTATTTGTAACCTGCGGACTTTCTTTGTTCAAAATAATCAGAAGAGGAGGAGCAGTAACAGAGTTTTTCCTTGCCGGGTTTCACCCAGCAAGGTGTGGAGCTCCCTGGCCCCAATCCAGGAAAACATTTCAGTACATGCTTTAAGTCAATAGAATACTCTCACTCCTCAAGGTAAGCACATACTTAAGTGCTTTACTGAACGAGAGCCAGAGTTTTAAAGCCCCAAGAGAGAGAAAATAATCCCATTTTTCTTTCCTGTAAGTGAGGTTTTCAGTAACAGACTACCAATTCAATCTTTTAATCTCCCTCATGCTCTCCCACACAAAGAACAAGTGGGCCACTATTTTCATAGATGCAAAGGCAGCTCATTCAACTACCGTGTTTTCTACCTTTTGCGTCTTTCGTTTCGTTGCTTCATCAACATTTCTTGAAGGGCAAGGAAAATCAAAGACGTCAGCCTTATCCTCTCGACGGTCACCTAGAAAGAGAGTTTAGGAGGCATACCCTGGGTGTTTACACTATATTTTCCTGGGGAAGCTGTAGATTCTACATCTTCCAGAGAGTATTTACTTCTGGTCCCAGCAGATTACAAAATATAAACCCTCACACGGCACTGACTATCACCTTGCTTATTTTCTCCATTAGAAGCAGAGGGCAAATCAGTTGCTCCCACGCTTCATAAAAACAGATTTGAAAATGCTACAGCAATCAAAAGTGAAGACATCAGGCTTCTGGGCAATACAGCCTGTTGATAACTCCCTCTTTTCTGCCCTCAGTATAGTAGTTACTAATATCTTGCCTGAGCTAAAAGAGGAAATGGTGACTGGGCTGAGGCAAGAGATCAGCCAAATTGCCTCTAGTAGCACAGAAAAAGGAGAAGAAAGGACAGGCAAAACTCTTGGGCTAGTTTCCTCTCACAGCAAGGCTGCAGAGAAAGCAGTGCCCTCCAGGCCACCACAGCCCCTCGGCCACCATGCGAGGTGGCCACATCCCAGGAGCAACTGCTTGAGCCACTGACCACCACAGGCATCACTTAGATCAGCAAACCTGGGCTTCTAATGCAAACTCATGCAGTGCAGGAGAAAAATAATCCAAGAGCATCATAATATCTGAGGATCAGCGAGTTAGTGAACTCGCTAACTTGCAGATTGGTCTGACCCTCCCCAACGCTTCTGGCTGGCACCTCTGCATCTTCCCCAGCAGCCAGGTCACGTTCCCTGTTTCTACCCCCTTTCATCCCATGCAGTAAAACTGTGTTTCATAATAGACTGTAACCAGTGGAAAGCTGCCTAATCTTTTTTGTTGCCTTAAAAATAATAATAAAAAAAAAACACACCCAAGCCCATCCCAACTTTGTTTAGTCCCAGCCACAATGAAAGAAAATTGAGAAACATATTTAGGCTCTCACAACGAGGGAGCAGAAAGTACATGGGCACCCCCTCTGCTCGGTGGGAATCCAGTGAGAAAAGGCAGAAAGGATTCAGATGTTCAGTGTGGAAAAGGGCTGCTCCGAAGGATTTATTTGAGTTTTGGCCTTACTGTTTACATGATTGCTTTTGGAAAGGCCCAGGGAAGGCTCAACAGCCTGGCATTGCCTTGCCTGAGATCACGGAGACACTGCAGCACAGCAGCAGGGGAGCTTAGGGTAAAAACAATGAGTTTTTTACCTCCCACCCTTCATTAATTTAACAACTTTTTTTTGGAAATCCTTCCTATTGGTGACATGAACAGCACGATGCCCCACAAGAAAATGGCGGGTTCCAGGACAAGGAGGAACCTGGGGCTTGAGCTCCCCATGCTGGGGAACACATGAGCTCCATGGGCTCCTCAGCACGTACCATGGTGCCGGCCAACAGCCTCGGGGCTGCCATGGCTCCTTGCCGTGGGCGGCTGGCCCTGGGCAATGCCCGCCGGGGAGGGTGATTCTATCACAGGGCTGGGGCACCTCATGTCAGCGCTCGCAGCGCCCGTCTGTGGGCTGCCCTCGCTCCCCGCGCTGCCGGTGCCTGGGACCCAGCCATAGCGCACGACAGTGCCGCAGCGGTGGGTGCCAAAGCTGTTGACGTAAACCATCGGCACGCGGGGCCAGCCAAGGGCAGAGCCAGGCTCCATTTTGGGCAGGGCCGCGCTGTGGCAGCGCTGTGAGGAGAGACGAGAGGGATGGCGGGAGGCTGAGCGGCAACGGCCGCCGCCGGGGCCCGTGGGGTCCCTTCTTGCTCGCCCCATCTCAGCAGTGAGAGCAGGGAAGGAAGCAGTGACTGGCAGCACACAGCGTAGGAGCTGCTTTGCCCTCACAAATGGCTCCCCACAAAACCCCCTGGGTCTTCACGGGGTGGGCGCTCTCGTTGGTGACCCGGCTCCAAGCGCGTTATAATTCACTCCTCTGCCTAAAAGCAAACGACCAGGCTGAGAGCGCAGCCTCCCGCACCCGGCTGCACTCGGCCAGCATTAATTACAGCTTAGCACAGAGCACGCTGCCTTCAGCCCGGAGCCATGTATCGACGTCTTTGATGTATATCGTTGATACGCGGATAGATGAGACTCCAGGCTGAAGGCAGCGATGTCTTCCTGTGTCCCTGCGGACGTGCACAGGGCAAGAGCCAGTGCCGGCCCTTTGCTGCGGGCGAGTCCACAGCGTCTGCTCAGATACTGCAGATTTCCACAGCGAACCATCAAACAGGCATCTGCCGCTGCACAGGCAGGGGGGTCCCACTACGCCATGAACCCTGTTTAAGTAACATCAGTCTTAACACGCGAGGTCACTTTGCTCCTTGAGCAGCAGCGGGTATAAAGGCTGGTGGCCAACCCTGAGAAGCTGCAAATTCAAAATTCCTGCCTTGCGCCTTTGCGGAGAAGATACTTCCACCGCAGCGCATGGTGTGATTTGGCATGGCCTGTGGCAAGTGGGATTTCTCCAGTCACTTAAGACCCCAGGTCGCATTGATTTTTGCTTTCACATTGAAATACGGCTCAGTATTATTTCTCAGAGCTTCAGGCTGTAGAAGTGCTCACAGGAATGAAAGTGCTACAAATGAGAGTAAATTCCACCAAAATGCCTTTTTTTAAAAAAAAATCCCCAGCAGCAGAATATGAATTGCATACGAGATGCGGCACCCACCAGATGGCAGGCTTACCTCCTGCAAAGGAGCCTGGCGGATCCAGGGAGGGAAGAAAAAAGGGGGAAAATTATCTTAAAAATAAATGTTAAAAAAAAAAGAAGAAAAACAAGCCCTCCCTCTTAAAAAAAAAAAAAAAAAAAAAAAAAAACTCTTCTGCAAAGTATCCCAGGATTTTCAGCTAACTTTTTTTTCGGCTACTATTATATCCAAACACCAGAGATGCCCACCATCCCTGCAAAAACCTGAGCTAACGAATTGGTCTAGTGAGGTAACCTACGAGTTCAATTCGGGGGCATTACACAGAGAGAGAAGTGGGAACAGCTTCATTAAAAAACGATCCTGGAGTGCCAACTTTGTCACATCCATTAATCACAAAGCCCTGGGAAAGAAAGTGCTTTGCTCCCAAATGCTGAAAATACATGAGCCTCAATCCACCCCCACATAAACCTAAATAGCACCCTTTTTTCTTTACACAACTTTCTTAATGCTGTGCGTGAGTGCTTGCCTGCATCTTCCTAACCAGGAACATGCCCTTCTGGGTGACAGGCAGATCTCCTTCCTACTGTTCAGGGCCTCTTCACACACGACAGCTTTAAAAGGGCTCCCGAATGAGAGGATTTCCCAACATCTGTGTTTCATGGAATATTCTTCCACTGTGCTGATGCAAATACGCATCTCTTGTGTGACAGCTTTTTCCCAACAACAGATTGCTGCAGTTCTGATTTCAAAAGCAAATTCAGCTCAGATCCCATCCATCATTGCTGACAAAAATCAATGCCATCTAAAATCTACAAGCATCCTGCAGAACGGGAAAACTCGGCTATTTTGGCTGCACACTGATCCTCACTCTCCTTTCCACACACATAAATTGCCTCTACCAGCTAGTCACTACCTCTGGTGATACCGGGGTGCTATTTGTTGCTTTGAACAAACATCTTGACTCCACCACTTCTTCAACTGTCTGGTTATAAACAGATCAGATTCTAGCTTTCAGTCTGCAGCTCATCAATGCCATTTGTTTTGAATTCAAATGTCAGCTCTCCAATTCGGAGCTTGCATTGTTTCCCAGATCCCATTGTTCAGGATGCCTTGTCTCCCCCTGTTAACCTTGATTATTGTTTTAAAATACCACAGGTTTTGGGGTTGGCATGCTGAAGCTTATGGCACGGAGAAGGACGGGAAGTGCCAAGGGGACATTACTGCATGCACATTCAGTGATTTATCTCATCCCTGCAGGAAGGAATCTTGCTCTGCTGCTTAAGATGTGTTGCTTCTCTGCGAGGCCTTTTTGCAGTGGACTTGCACAGAATACTTACATGATTCAACGTACCGCTGGCAAGGCGGAGTGCTTATGAAATATTTCTTTGTCTTGATCACTTTGCCATCTTGAAAGCATGAATCCATCTGAAATTGGAATCCTTAGCACTGTTAGCAAGTTTTCTTGTGGAAACTATGCCAGTTCTGAGAACTACGGCTACCCTCAAACCTTGTTAACTACCCCTGCTGCAACAGTGCAGATACAGTAATTCTCTCTCGTTTTCACAGACAACTTATTAAGAACCACTGGAATGAAGTGTTTTTATTAGAATGTGGTTACTTTACAAAATACACTGGAGACTATTTATTAGCATAACAAGGAATCATTACAAAAACAAAACTCACCACTTTCTGGTAAATTGAAGCAAGTGTCTTCAGTTTTTGCTTACTTTTACATTTCTTAATTTACTATAGGTTTCACAGTTAATGCAAGCAACAACACAGTGCAGCAGAGATAAAGTGGCTAGCTGCATTAAAACACCTGCATTTCATACCAATGAACTTGCATAGCTCTGATGGCTTTATGAATCATATATGTGGGAATCACTTCATTCACACCACTCATAAGCATATTCTCCCATTTATCCATGTTGCACATAAATTTAGTTAGCAGATTATGAAGTTTGTTACATGAAAGTCTAACTCTCTCCTTGAGGGATTTTCAAATCCACAGATCATAGTCAGAACTCTGATCAACAAGACTGCAACCCTTAGCTCAGAAAGACTTTGTGTTAGAGTTTTTAAATAAAGAATCCCAATCTGAAATAAAACCATAGGAGAACTCAAAAGGGCAAAATCACTGAAACTGAACAACAGAGCTAAACAGCCTTATTTGGGAAGAAGATTTATAGTCAATGGATGTGGCACAAGGCAGACCAGGACTGCGGTTTCTCTGACTCCATTTTCCCTTGCACATGTGCAAGCTACTGGCATTAATGATGACACAATTGCTTCCAAATTAAAGGGAGCAAAATTTCACCTTCACTCTCTCAAACATTGGGCTACAGGGACCACAAAACTACCTGTTCCTAGTTATTCTGGGGAACATGTGGTGAGGCCCTTGGTGAGCACACAAAATTTACTCTCATCCAAGATAAATGCCCAGATACTGTTCTCCCACATCCTGGAAGCACAGCCGTTCAGTATAGGATAAAAAAAGCAACTAAATCATCAGATTCAGCAATCTGGACCCTCCAAGACTCCCTTTCCAAGCACAGAAAGTTCATGTTTTCTTAGCTGCTGAAACCTAACAATCTCAGTTCGAAGCATGCCTGCAGGTTAATGTAATCATCAATACATCTGTCCACATAGTTCAGACAGTTTTATTTAACTACAGTGCTAGTATCACTGAACATACTTGCTCCTTAGCAGTAGATCCACTTTGTAACGGTCCTAAGGTCTTTGCAGAACTATTCCAAGCCTTGTACATTCACTGCCTTCTAGCCCCAAAGACATAAGGCTGCTGCCAAGAAAGAAACAGAGTAGGGCTTCTGTCTCGAAGGATTGCTAGTTCTGCAAAGAAAATTAAAGCAGTCACTGCTTTGTTCTGTTGCTGACTTCTTCCAAAGACATTTCCCTGAAAAAAGGCAAGCCTTGAGCAAATTTTCTTGCTACTGACTGAAGAACTGAGTCAATTCTGCCAGTGTACAGAGCAGCATCTGCCTGGGAGCAGCTGGCCTGCTGGAGCCGAGCTGGGGGCTATTCCATGATGCTTATGATGAGAACGTTCCTCAGACAACCCGAAAGTCACATTTAACCCACTGAAAGAAAATTTAGAAACACTTGGGATGAATGTGCCCAGTACCCAAATCAGTACTGAGCATGAGCTTAGAGTAACTTGCACTGTCTTGAAGAAAGGCACTTTTCTCAAAAGACCTCTTAAAGCTTCCATATGCACAGCAAGGCATAAACCATCCCCGAGCAAACTGAGCCCTGTTCATGAGTCAGCAGCAGTGAGTTAGACAGGGCAAATATTTTCACAAGCCCTGGGCTGGGCTGTAAGGGTGGGCAGAGACATCAAAAAAAAAATTTTTAATGCATTATTTTGCATGTGAATTGATACCCTGCAGATCACAAAACTGCGTTAGTGCAGCACGCAGCTCCTGTCAAATGCATCTACGCTATTGATCCATCATTTAAATAAAACCAATTTTCTCCACTCATAAAAATGACCAACTCACCCTATCGTATAGCTTCAGAATTGAAAAATGCCACTTAGCTAAAACCCAGTTTAATAACACACTAAACACAAAACGGACAATGTGTTCCACCAAAAACCCTTTACCTACTTTGTGTTTAGAGGACTTAATCTCAGAAGAAAGACAATATCAAAAACAGACCTTATGCATTTCTGTATTTTACACATACAAGGAGGATTGATGACCTTAGATACCTTCAAATAAAGCAACATTTAGAAATCAAAAAACCTCCCCAAAAGCAGCCCTACAAAAAGTCAGATTTTAGTTTGGATACCAGGAAAATGGCTGCTGAGAATTAATCAGAGCCTCGAGCTTCAGAAAGCCTCTCCTCCCATCTCCAACGGGGAGTTCAGAAATGTACTTAGAGCACCAGTTCATCTCCCCCCCACTCAACTCCTACAACTGCAGAGACAGCTGCAAGAGTATTCTTATCCCAGAGGCTGTTTTCATACTGACAGACTGAATCAGCTTATTTTACACAGAGGAGGAGATGTCAGTGTTTCTGCCTCATCTCTCCTTTTTGAGGCTGTTATTTGTCTTAAGATTTCCTGTAGGCAAGCAGTGTGCATCCAGGACCGTGCCTGAGCCGGCTATCATGGCACTGAACAAGCAGCAGCTGCGGATTCAGGAGCGACAGTAGAAACTGCCCAGCAATGACCCAACAATTAAGAGACTTTCTTTAAAGTACACCTTTGCCTTTAAGTCTGTAGATAGATTTATCTATCACTATGTATATCCACCCATGACCAGATTTCTTTCATCTCCACTCGAGTTGCTTTCACTGATGTGAAATGCAGCAGTTCATTTACTGAAGGTAGTGCCCAAGAGAAAGCCGGTGGCTAACTAAGTGTTCAACAAGCGGCTTGTGCTGAAGGAAGAGTTGTGCTTCACGTACTGTGGAAATTCTCCAGTTCTACCCCCCAGGCACACCTCCAGCTTCTGCAGTCCGCCTGGAGTGTTTATTTGTAGTTTCAGGACATACAGAAACCCAAAGGGATTTATCATTTTTCCCAGAAAGCTGCTTCTCAGCAAGTCAGATTCAGGCAAGGCCATCACTACTAAGAGTGACTGTTATTTTTGACCACTCCAGACTTTGGGCATTTCACCTCCTTGAGCTGTATTTTTTAAACTCTGCCTGTGAAATGAGATTTAACCTATTAAACACTTACAGAGTATTTCTGCAGTCTTCAGACAGGAAAAGTCAGACTTCTCCGAATCTCAGATCACAACCGCGACACATGTAAACAGACCCCTAGTTCATCCATGCCATGCTTGGCCATATCCAGCATCCTTTCTGGCTTGGCAGTGGTTCTGCCTGATGTGCAGGACTCCCTGTGCCGCAGGGGTGCTCCCCTCACTGAACACGCCACCTGCCCAGGTATGCTGGATTTCTTAGCTGTGTACTGCTCTTTATCTTTGTCCCAATTACCAAGCAGCAGAGAACACCAAGTAGAAACAAGTGATCAAACACGTGGCTACTACTCTTTGGCCAAACTGGACATGTCTAAGGCTGTTTAAGAATAGTGCTGAATCTGAGGTGTGTTTCCAAAGCTAGATGAGATTTCTAGACAATATTCAACAAGCTGCAAATTCACAATATTTAGTATTCAGCACCCAACAACCCCTAAAGACACCACCTGGACAGCAGCAGTAAAGACGCTGCTTCATTTGCCCTGAAGCAGAGTGCAGTTCTGCAGCCCTGGAGAAACATCTCCCCGCTGTTTCTGCAGTGCTGCACATCTGCCTCACGCCAGCTTAACGCAGTGCTCAGGGTACCAGCATCTCTCACGTGGTTAGTGCTCCCCCCTCACACTTACCCCCTGAGAAACCAAGCTCCAAACCCGTATGAATTCTGACCAGAACTGCAGAACGTGGCCTAAGGCACTTAGCACATCGCAGAGCCACACGTGTGCTGTATTCTTCACCAAAATCACTTCCCCAGCCCCATGCGCCGCCGCCACAAAGGAATGTGATGCTACAGGAAGCTTAAAATAAAACAGTTAAGAAGAAAAACTGAGTTAAAAGTTTTATTCATTCAACATCTCACATTACAAATATTTAAAAATTATATGCATACTGGTATAAATAGTCATTTGCAAACTATTTAATAACATTAATTTTTCACTAGCACTTCAACAAATGAACTCTTTAAAAAAAGTAACTTGTGTTATATAACTTAGACTAGAACATACAAAAATATGAACTTAAAACGTGAAAATGACTTTAATAAAAAATGAATTACCCTTATTTAAAATGCTATAATAAATACTACAACCTCCCCATACACAGTAAAAACTATATGGAAATTCAGCCAAGTAGTACAATTAACTGACATACTTAAATAACTTTTCCTTCTGATAATATGAGCAATACGTTGGGGGAAAAACATATTAGGGATTAGTAAAAACTAGACACCCACTTGCTAAAAGTTTCACTTCCAAAAAATATAACAAAAAATCTGATGAAAATTATAAAAACTAATTATACTTTAAAATTTAAAAATATAAAAAATAAAACAGTTGAATACAATATTGTCCCAATTCTTACAATGCTATCACAGTAGCTTTAAAATAAGATAATAAAATAAAGCAAATGACCAAAACCTTTTATTCCATTTTTTAAAAATAATCTCAAATTTACATTAGTAGAAAGATTGATTTCTGATTCTTTTCTTTAGAAACACCAGCAAGAAAGAGGATTTACTAGAACAGTAGAAAATGACATTTTTAAATGTCTGCAATTAAAAACAAAGAATTACACTGCAAAGATCTTCCAGAAGTCTGAAATAGGTATTGCACATAACTTGAAGTTAACTTGCCACAATTCATCACATTCAAGTTTTAAATCACCTTTTAACAGAAGGTTTTAACTCTTCAAAAACAAAAGGGGTGAATTATCAAGTCTTTCCAACAGCATCCTTATAAAACGCTAAATTCATTCACTGCAAGTTTTAAATTTGCATTCTGCAGAGGTCTGTGTATGGAGAAGTAGATACTATACCAAAAAGCACGGGGCAGTGGGGTTCCTTTACATATAAAATAATCAGAAACACTTTATTTTACATTGCAAAAATAACCATGTAATTACTCTGTAACTACATTGTAAATACATGGCCAGTGCCATGCTAGTGTGATAAAACTACATGCTTGTTAACCCCTTTGCAAATCGAAGTGATACCCTAAGACTTGAAACTAATTACATGTTAATTATATTTGGAGCAACTTGGTCGCTCCAACTACAAATCCCATGTAACCAGAAGGACATGTAATCACTATTTAAGTACAGAGTAATGTATATAATTGTTTATGCCCTGTAAATCGAAGTGTAACCAAATAATCTGTAAACACGCTTGTCACACAATCACAAGTGAATATTAGTAGAATAACAATTTCTTACATTAGTCATGCATACTAACATTACATGCCTGCCACCTAGCAGGCTCTCTTTTATTCTTTAAATATAATTTAAAAGAGCAGACACATTTCTGCATCAAACACCTAACATCAATTTGTTATTAATATTAAAAATGGCTAAACATTCACCAAAAACGTCTGCATTTGTGTATAATTTTTAAAAACTTAGTAAGAAGCGGTAGACAATTTTGATGTTTCTTTACTTTTAAATTTCTACACTATATTTATGCATTTAAATTTCAGGGTCTAAAGACAGTGTCATTTGTCACTTTCATGCTTTTCTTCTTTAATTCTCAACTTTACATATACTATTTCTTAAATTATATGTACACCAAATACCTGGTGCTGGGCTAAGATGTTTAAGCAACATGCTTTCTTTTCTCTGCAGATTCTAAAATAGCATTGCCAGTGCACAACATCCATAATTCAAAATGTATGCAGAGCACTGAAATGTATAAAAAGCAGAATATAAGAAAATAAAATTTATTAAAATTATTTATATTAAAAAATGAAGTATATGAAGATCTCTCAGTAATAAAAGTACAAAAAGCTACTCTTTGCAATATGAAAAATTGAGGTATTGCATAAAGAGATATCCCGTCAGTGAAAAGTGTGCCTAAAAATGCTCACTGTTGGAAAAACAAGATATACAAAAGTAGTGCATAACAAATATACATTATGTGCATGACAAAATAAGTTAGCTACAAAAACACTGTACCGAAATTCAGCAGGTCATGTACAAAGGGAAAATTATTATTCAAAGCTAGTTCTCAAACAGTGTTATTTCTTGTAATGGTAACCCATCTCACCTGTTAACTGGGTAGGATCGGCACAATAGCACACCCCAAGCCAACTACAAGCATTAAAAAAATTAAAGGAACATTCCAACTATAATTATGTACTTCAGAGAAAAAAAAGTCCCTGACAATCTACACAAGAGCACTCTGCATTTGCATTACTGTTGTCAATATTTTCAGGGATTTCATTAAAAGCAGCTCCCTTTCTATACTTGACTAGTAGACAGCAAATGTCTCCATTTTGACCTTTGGAACTTGATAAGGTATAGTTCATTAAAGCCTGTATTGAAAATAAAAACTGCTTCTCATAAAGATAATTTGGGGTGAGGGGAATGGGATGAGGGGGGCCAGCAAAGGCTTTTAGGGAGCAGAAGTTATCCAAGCAGTGCTGAGGCAGGTCTTTGGTTTGAGGGAGTCCACGATGGTACCATGCCGGTCGGGCAGCTTACAACATTGCCACTGAGTTTGTTTGCACACTGCTAAAAATCACTTTAGAAGTTGGCCAGGGCATTAGTTTAAAAGCAATAAAAATAGTTTTCAGAACTACTCCTTCATTCGACTATTTCAAACTAAACCGCTGCACCCACTCGTCATCATTCAATTAACACAGACTGTGTTAATGCTTCTCAAGGTAGAACTTTTTATAATAAAGCAGACATTAACTTAGCAATGTTGGCACTTCAAATACTTATGTTTCCTTATTTTCCCATATTAAGTTCTGAAGAGGAGGAATTTTAGTTGGGATATTTTTCTACAGGAAGAGTAAGAAAGGCATATGCATGTCTGCACCATTTCACACAAAATTCAGGGAATAGTGCAAAGCACAACTGGGAAGATACTTAGATATATGCCTTCTGTTACAACTAAGTTAGAGGATATTCAAAACTAACTTTACATCCAAGATGGGAAACTAATGAGCAGCCAATTTCACTTTGTGTGACACACACTGGAATATCAAAACTTCAATAAAAATCAGTCATATCCTTGAGGTATCTTTAGGTTTTCTACTTTTTTTCATGTCAAAATGGAGAGCAAAGGCTGACCCCTGAAGAACGTTAGTAGATTAGGATATAGAATTATATATAGCCATCAAAAATAAAATCTATATATTCATCCTTCAAGAGAGGAAATGCCAGTTAACTAGTTGTCATTTTTCTAGCTTTGGTAGAATTTCTAGGGCTGTAACCAGACAATTGAATTCTCTTAAAGAAAAAAAAAAGTGCACCCCCCCCTCAGTAGTAACTTTACTCAACTTTTACATTCAGAAATTCTTAAAATGTGATCATTCTGATGAAAATATAGTAAGCTCTGCCTATCTCATTAGTAATTTGGATGTGGGTGGTCATCAGAGGCATGGCCAGATACATACCAAGCTAAAATTCGGCCTCAAAACCCTTAACAAGATTAAAAATTCACTACTATAATGCTGCTTGAACTTTGCTCATGCATTTTTGTTGCTTTAAACATGCTCTTTCCTTTTGATAGGTAAATGCTAACTTCATCTGTTGCTGGAAAAACTGAAAAGTCAAAGAAAAAGAAAGGCAAAAACAGGCTTCCCTGGGGGAAAGTGTCAGAACAGACTGATAGTGTTATTGTTACATGGTTATTTTAATAAAAGTATTCTTATGTTCTTTATTAACAATAATTTAATTAAAAAACCAAAATACTCTATTGTTTCAATTCTCTTAATATTTTTCTCTCCTCTAAGAAAATGTTGCACGAAATTAAGTGTTCTCTTGGTAGTAAAGACAAGAGAATGCAACTTGCTCGCAACATGTTATCAATACGAAAAGGAGTTCCCAATACAGTTTTCAATGACAAGATTCTACAAAATACCCATATTATAGGTCATTCTTCCATTATACTATTGTTAAATTACAGACTACTACAAAAGGACATGCTATCTTGAATAAGAGAAAGGGTCAGGTGGGGTAGGGACAATCAGGATAACAGAAGAGTGCACTTAATTTGACGCCTGCATATGAGCACTGCAGTAATCACTTAGTTCCAGCGGAATGAAATATGTCTTGGGCGATCTCCTCCCTCCTTCACCAGGGGCTTGTGGAATTCCCTGCCAGCGCGTGAATGGATAGCAGCCCAGCAATATTCACAGTAATACTGCAGACAGGTAACGTTAGCACAGAAAAATGGAGCGAATTTTCCACCACAACGGGCCCCCTGACATTCATCGCAAAGCTGATCATCCAAGACATATGGCTTAACTTCCACCTGTATGCAGAAAACAAGAGGAAAGTTTGCAATTCTTAATAATACAGTAGGCAATGAATATTCCACATTATATCCCATCCACATAATATCCTAGCAGGATTGTGATCACTTGATCATAGCCATTAAACACTCCAAACTATGAGCACTTAGCTTGAGAAGAGCCCTGCTCCCACTGTTCCTCCTGCAGCTTAAAAACAAAAATCAAAAAATTCATCCTCACCATCTTCATCACACATGCTGTAACCTATTTACAAAAAGTACCAATCAGCACGTCGTTACAGAATTCACGTGCACAGATATTTAGCAAAAACTTGGAGAATTCTGCGGGGTCTGAAAGTATGGGGATGCACAATTAAGCTCCTTTCCTTTCAGGTAGGAATGTAAAATGCTTGCACAACACTGTAACTGCAAATTAAAATTGCACACAGTTTGCAAATTTCAATGCCTGAATTTTCAGCTTAAAACATTATTTCACATCACATCATTAATAAATAGTACATTTCTGTTTCCTTTTACTGTGGCTTACTCCACTCAGCAAAAAGAACTAGTTAATCCTGCTGGTATCAAATCTGGAGCTTAAAACGCCAACCTACACAGCTGGCATTAAGGATAAGATGATGAGCCGTAATTCAGCACAAGAACAGAGAGGAAATTTTTCTTCAAGTTCTTAACTGTTAATAACTCACAGGAACTTACCAGCTGGTGCTCCAAGGACATATCTACACTACAACATCTGCAGGCTTTTAATCTATGCATTTGCTTACCAAAAACAAGCCCACCACAAAACCCTGGCCTCAGCACTCCAGAGTGCTTCCTCCTCAGTGCCCGAGCCGCTCATGTAGATGTGTGTAAAGTCACAACTGCAGCACTGCCACCCCCTAAAGGGTCTGTTTCACCTCATACCTAAAGACCCCCTTCACTCCCACTCCTCTGCTTTTTAGGACTGCTCAAGGTTGATGCATGGACTGCTCAGAAAGGCAGTACAAAGCCTCAAGTTAAGAAAAAGTGTAGCTACACCACGAGTTCCTATTCTAGAAGTACTTGTGAGCCCTCTCTGGAGCTTGTAAAACCATTTTCTTTCAAAAACATTTCCAATTACGTACACCAAGAGCAGTATCTCGAATGTTATCCTTCTCTTTCTGCATTTGGCACAGTGATGTCTTTCGTACACGTTTGGGATCCCAAAGCCGTTTGCCCACTAACCCAAATAAGGACATTCACAAGTTCCTGTGTTTTTAAAAACATTTCCAATTACCTACACCAAGAGCAGCATCTCAAATGTTATCCTTCTGTTTCTGCATCTGGCACAGTGATGTCTTTCATACACGTTTGGGATCCCAGAGCCGTTTGCCCACTAACCCAAATAAGGACATTCACAAGTTCCTGTGTTTTTAAACTTGCCCGATTTTACCATGGTTGAGAAAAGTCACTGCAGTGGTTGGTTCCATTTGTGCTTACAGCACAAATAAACTGCTCACAGCAATGCAGCAGCCTTGCTTTTCCCCTCACTAGTTTCTGTTGGGCAGTATTCTGTTTCTCTAACATCCTTCCACGCTAATCCAGAACAATAAGTGTGTCAACAGCCTCCCCAGACATACTCAGAGGCTGCTCCTGGCTGTAACCTGAAAACCCAACTGCAGCACCAATAATTACCCCTCTGCCTGCCTTGGCCTGCAACCACAGCAGTGGCTTTTGTGCAAGTCAGCAACCCACAGACACCAGAGTCTTCAGCACATTTCCCTGTGCCACGTGCTCCAGGTGTCCCTGCTGGAGCAGGGGGGTTGGACTAGATGATCTCTAGAGGTCCCTTCCAACCTTAACCATTCTGTCATTCTGTAATTCACTGCGTGCTGAAACCCATCTGCCATGTTTGATTTTTTCAAAACATTACTTGCAAATATGACCTGCTACTTGTGCTACACATAATCAAGTTCCCCAAATGTGCACTGTAAAGTAGCTTAAGTTAACAGCAGTTTCATCAGAAACTGTTAAGGGTGGCAGCTCTCATGAGAACCTCTACAGCGCTGGGTGCTGCAGGCCCCAAGCATTTAACTCGTGTTACCTCACTGAAGGGCACACCCTTTAACCCTTGCCTCATTCTACAGGAAATCCTTCTTTGTTGCTCATTTTTATGTATATATTAAAATGTATTATACAAAATAATTAAAAATAGTATCTTAATAATAAATAGTAGTATTGTTGCTCTTCCATTTTTTCCTCTCTCGTACATCCAAAACCACCGTTCTAACGAATCCACTGAGCATCTGTCTCCCCATGTTTCTTCTGAACCCCGTACAAAATGGGGAAATAAGGAGGAGCCGGAAGGGAGAAGGAAGGGGAAACAGATTGCAAAATCTTTGCTAGAGTTCACAAGTACTTACAGCACTCCTACCAGCTTCAATAGAGCCATTCACCCAAGTGTCTGCTTATGCAAGCAGAAGTTGCACAAGGGGGAGCGGGGGGCAAATTATTTGTTCAAAGCCATACAGAATTTATTCCTGAGCCAAGATTAGAACAAAGACATTCCAATTCCCAGGCCCACAGTCAAACTGTTGTTCCAATTCTTCTTCCCCAGCTTTTTAGCCAAGCAGGAGTAAAATGATAATCGACTAATCAACCATTTAGTGATGACTGACTGAAGTTTAAAGGTAAAGGCTTTGGGGCTTCCCCTCTCCAGTTATTATAGAATTAAAAATCAATAATGACAGTCACATAATCCTGAGTCCTGAAAATCTTGAGACAAAGACCAAACTAGAAAGAACAGGGTATGCAAGGATCTGAGTTTCTCAAAACTGCAGCCCTAAGATAACCAAAATAGGTCAGTTACATTCTATATTAGAGTGCAGATAAAAGCAAGCTCCAAATCCATTTGGTGTACTCCTTTGATTTATGTTAATTCATGAATAAGCTGCAAATAATTCTAATAAATTATTAGTTAAGAAGTTAACTGTGCATAGCCTTGAAGAGAATGGAGGGCGACCCAAGTTCACCACGCATTGCCAGGATGCTCTTCAGGACCAGCCAGCAGGTATAACAACTGGGCCAGACTCTGACTACTCTCTACAGAGAGTAGAACAGGAATGGGAACTGCTCCATCCTTAGCAGTTACCTTGCTTCCTGCCTTTCCACAAACACTACAAAGGCAAACACTTGCAGTGGGAGTGCAATACGTGTGGAATATTCTTACAGAAGGGCAAGGCAGCTGAAATGCTTCTCATTATGCTAGGATATTCAAGAAAGTCTGCTTCACAGTTGCCACCCACGCTCCCGAAGTGAGAGCTCTGCACCACTCCTTCATTTTTATTCTGTGTTGTATCTAAGTGGCACAATCTAGCCTTAAATATGCAATGAATCCGATCTAACATTTACAGCCTTCACAGTGACGCACTCATGTTTACAAGGAAAACCATTTCTAGAGAAGGCACAAAACAAAAATAGAATGTGCTTGAAGACCTTACCCGTTTATCTATCTCTCCATGCTGCAGCTGAACAAAGCGAGCGCTGATAGCAGCTATGTAACTCTGTTGATTAGAAAATGCAACCCGCCCAGCTCCTTTTGGGTATTTCAGCTCAGGGTCTGTGTCAATTCCAGCATAGCACACCCCTCCGTACAGGCGATCCATTATCATTGCAAGTTCCACTAAACCAGAAAGGAAAAGAAAACAGTAGTGTCAATTCAGTATTTTTTTCCTCCCTTCCTAGAAGCACCAAATATGACAGTTCATTTGTATTCACGTTCCCCACTTTAAGCGTCGAGAGCACTAAATGTTTCCCTTGCTGAAATCACCTGTCTCCCCCGTGCTCCCCCAATCAGACAACATATTCAACATGCCCAATGCTGCAGAACACACAGTGTACCTGCTCGTAAAGGCCGAGGAACACCACCAACAAAAATGGTTTTTCGTGGGTCAAGAGGCTGTGAACCATCCATAACAAAATCACTATCACTAAGGTTCCAAGGCCGGATCTGAACCTATGGACAAAAAGCCTTTTTTTTTTTAAACCATTCACAATCCAGAAAATATTTCAGTAACAGAAATTAACAGATTCCTATAAAGCATAAAATCTCTTCAAAAAATAAAAATATGTAAACTCATTTTCTACTGGCTCAGCAACTGCTTCCTGAGATTAAATGGTAAATACTGTCTACTGAGACAGACCTCTTGATCATACCAAATTTCACCAATTGTGTACGTGCATTTTTTTCTCCTTACAAATCCAGGTAACATTTACTTAATTGTGACTGAACTGCAGTGTATGCACTATGTTAATGCCTGTGTGTCCATGCTATTTGTGTTGTGCTAGCCAAGCGTAAGCACGAGACTAGCGTTATCTCAATGGAACAGGCTCCAGTGTGCAAGGTTGTGTTTATTTACTACGCAGGACTAGCAACTTTGCCTACAGCTGGCCAAATTCAAGTACAGAAATACAATCTACATCTCTCCCATTACTGACTTGTTTCAGCCCCCCACATCATATGTACTAGTGATGTACAATCCATTGCCACGTTATGTTTTTTTGCAGTTCAGTTTACAGCACTACGTACAGCATGAATTCTGCATCATATTCAATAATAAGCATAAAATACCTGTTTGCATCTATATTACATCAACAAAAAGGAATGAGAGTAGAAAAATAGGATCTTTTTTGAACTGAAACTAGCCTAAAAAACTCGTGACTTCTATGTAATGCACATTATTGAGGATTAATTTCAGAGTTTAGAAATACCCATCTAACTTGATCATTTCTTTGAGAACTTGATGATTTAAAGAAATTTAGACACCAGTGCTCTAAAGGCAGAAAAAAGTGAAAAGAAAAAAGGGTATCTGAAGACCACAATTTCTAATTATCCTACAGACACTGCACAGCTGCTGAAAATTTTACCTACCGGTTTGTCCTTGATAGTGGGGCTGGAGACACAAAGATACAGTTTTCCATCTTCTTCAATACATGCATCAATCAGTGCCTGAACAGAGCTTTCATCTTGGAACAGCAAAAACGCATATCCTAGAAAAACAAATATATCATTTCCTTTTTTACTGTCACATAGGATATAGTCAAGAACTTAACCCAGAATTTTGCTTGCCGCCATTTCATGAGGCTACAGCACAATAAAGGACAAATTGAACGGAGCTCTTAGGAACTCACAGTCTGGTCTGCTGCGAGTCCTCTGCATTGACAAGAAGGAAAGCAGGGACATTCATGACCAACACCCTCTCTCCACCTCATCTTTGGCAAAGGATAAGCCAGGAGTATTAAATGAACAAGAGGCAGAGCATGTCTCTTAAGTAAACTGTGAATATAAGGTAGAAATCCTTCTCGAGTTCAGTGGGGGGCATTCAGCCCCTTTAGGAAGGGCTGATCTTGACTATTACTATAAAAATGAGTAAAGCAGAAAAATGAACAACAGAAAAAAAAAGGAATAAAGTAAAAAAAAAAAAAAAAAAAAAAAAGGAAATTAAGGAAGAAGTGTAAAATAATCACGACTATGTTCTACAGACCATCTGTGCACAACTGCCCTAAGGATTCACTTTTTCTTTTCTAAACGTAGGCCCACACACAAAAATCTTATCCAAAATGGAACTTTACATAGAAAAAAAACAATTAAAAAGTAATTGTATGATAGTAATTATCAAATTTACCTTTAGGAGGAAAATAAGATTTGCTCTCTGCCTTGTGTGGCCAGTCTACAATCAGAGGTCCAAAACGGCGAAAACTAGCAGTAATCTCATCTATAAAGGTGAAAAAAACATTAATTGAAAATGCGAACATGAATGAGTCAGCTCTCTGACATGTAAGACATTTGAAGAACATGGATCTTGGGTGATTTCTTCCCAGTCTATGCACATTTTACAATCCTGAAAGTTGAGCAGTTTGTAGAAATGCTTACTAAGTGATGGCAAATCTTTCTGACAAGTCAGAACATTCATTAGAAAACAAGGCAGTTGAAAGATTAAGATTTTCTTCCTACCAATAGTTATAAACAAAAGCTCATAACTCTCTAATTCACAGAAACGGAATCAGTGAATCTATACAGCTACCATAATCTAGCTTCAGGCACTTTCCCACAAAGAGTTTACAGACAACTTGCTGACTTGCTAGTAGGTCATCAGATCTGCCAAGCTGGCTGGCAATTGTGAAAAGACTGGAGAGAAAAGGAGGAACTATCACAGCAGCCAGCCACGTCCGTCCATGTCACTTGCTAATGACACATCTGCAAATCTTATCTGAGCCTAAGCCCGGACTAACTTAAGAGTAAACTTGCAAAACACAGTTAAAACATCTTATAGGAGAGATGGTAAGCAGCATGTCACTGTAGCACCACTGTTGCATAAAGCAACTTCATATTCATTCAAATTTGTCTTACATTTCACATTTCTGGAAAAGAATTTACATATGCTAGCCCTACGGAAGCTTTCTAATTACAGCTCTGCTCTTCTTGAAAATGATTATTCCCTTCCCTTCTCCACAAACACACTTGAATCCTCAGCAGGGAAAAAAAATTCTCTGGACAAGGAACGTTAATTAAAAAATTGAAACAGAGATAAAATGTCCTGTTGCTGGAGTGTCATCGAAGCTGGCACACTGCTCAGCAGCATTCTGCTCAAGGTATTACAGGGCTTTCCATATTAGCAATATTTAACACAACTGCTTTCCCCACAGCCATTTCAACATCCTTCCCTTTGCCATACTGTGTTTCTCAGAAAAATGTTTAATTAAGAAATCTCTCGATTTTCATCTGTTACTGACACGGTCTGAAGAACAGCCACAGCTCCACTGGGGGCTGCTCAAAGCTCTCTGACAAACAGTCAGAATCAAAAGCACACAGGAAGGTACTTCACATGTTCCCACCTGTCCTACCCAGAGGGTACTGCAGGACCGGGATGAAAACCTGTGTTTTGCAGGCGGTTCTTAGCACACAATTTAGAGAAGTTTCCTACCCTCAACCTCCGTTAGAAAACTACCACGGTGTTACTAGCTCTGTCCTTTTCAGCTTGTTTATCCTCTTTGCCCACATTGCTAAGGTAACAGCAACTGACAGGCCGCTACCCTGAGGGCTCTTGGTGCGCGGCGGGTCAGCAGGACACCCGCTGCAGCGCGTGCCAAGGTGAAGACACACCACAAAGCAGTGCTCGCTATGCAGCGACTCTTAAAATAGATCCCATGATCTACTGCACTAGCACAGGCTTAATGTTCAAGCACACTTACAACTCCTCAAAAATTGGGTTGTGCAGTAAAGTTTAAACCGTGTAGTCCTTATCGGCACGTGCAATTTACGGGAAGTGCTGCCAGAGGCAACCTTGGAAAATGCAGGCTGCTCTGAGCGCAGGTTTCACAAAGGTCTTATGCTTCAAAAACTAGTGCCCACACAGAGCAGCCTATTTGTGTGCTCAGCCGCTTTTAAAACAACAAAGGTGGGGGAAAAAGAAATGTTTCTTGTAGCTGCCATTATCATCTTCAATCTTTTAAATGCTAAAGGCCTAAGCAACGGTAACCATGATGCAAGTAGCTTTTACGTTTGCATGAAGGTCAGGTGGACGTGTCACAGTCATATGCAATGACATGTATGACCATTAAAACAAAAAATTTGGAAAAAGCAATAAACCATGACTTTTTCAGGTTTACAGTTCCCACAGATACTTTAACCATTGTGCTTTTAGGCTCATATATAGAAAAACATTAACCTCTGCTAAAATAAGCTCCATGGCAATTGCATATGATAAATTGTTTTAAGATTCCTGTATTCTGTCACCAATGCAACCAACAGAAATTCCTGGTTCCTCAATATATGCAACTGCCTCTGTATACCACCTGGTCCTTCCACCACCACCCCGGCGTCTTCAACACACATGTATGTTAGAATTTACTACAGGACATAATCACTGGTCAAAAACAACCTCTGAGCAGTTTCACATAAGCATCTAAATAAATAAAGAGCTAAGACTTATCAGGACTACACAAACTTTACAAAAATCAGCAACACTTCTCCTACCACTACCTTCTGCTGCCTATAAGTAGGCTCCAAAGTACTTGCAAATTTCAACAGAGCATATTTATTTATTTTCCCATCAGAAACCCTTTTTAAAATAATTTTGTATTGTTAAATGTGTGATGAATACAGAATTTTATTCTTCAAAGGTAGAACACTTCTGTAGCCGAAACCAGTTGAAATTATCTTACATCTGACATGGACTGAGTGGTGACATACAGAGATCTATTTACACATCAAAGGTCTTCTGCAGAGTTTGGAAAACAACCATGCCTTAGCTAACAGACAAAAGGTTTCCCACTGCAGTTTTGTCACTAAGCCAGGAGGGTATTTCTGGTTACATTTTTCCAGGCATACCTTCATCGATATCTGGGGGCAGTCCACCAACAAAGACTTTCCGGGAATACCGCTCCACTCTTTCTCCATTCTGGTGAGAGAAGCAGTGAGGTGATCCTAAACCACTGTGAAGAGTCTGATCCCCACGTCCATCATCCAAGAACCCGTCTTCCATTGGAAACAGTGAAGACTGACCTAAAGGGGGGTAAAAAAAATTATAAAAATAGAAGAAGAAAAAAAATACAGAAGAAAATACTGCTTAAATGAAAAAAAAAAAAAGAATAAAAGAAAGCCCCATGCTGGTTACTGTGTTAGCAGTCTTCCCTTTTAATGATAGTTATGCTATTTAATATAAAACCTTATAGGTTTCAGTACCATTCAGTTGCTCAAATAAATTAAGAGAAAAAGTCACTATCTGCTTCATAACTAAACTACAACTAACGAAAATTTGAAACAAAACAGTATTTCCAATGGATGCTCAAAATTACTTTTCCTAATACTCTGTGTTTCTAAACAAATTTCGTTTAAAAGATGTAAAGCAGAAGAGACCATAAGCCCAATGACTTAAAGATCTTTCCCAACAGCAGACATTACTCAAGCCTAAGCCACATATTCCACTTCCCAGTGAACACCCTCCTAAGCTGAGCAAACACAATTCCACAGCACAAATGGGAAAACAAAGAATTCTACCAGCTAAAAACATTACACATACGAACCACCTGCTATCAAAACCCTTCATAAACCATCCACTTGTGAATAAAAAAACACCCTAATAAAAACACTGATTCACTGTAATGGCCTGCAAGAAATGCCTGAAAACTAGGCCATACTGTGTCATTCCTCAGGAAGACCAGGTTTACTTAGATGTTACAAAAAATAATGGTTAATGGACTCAGTCTAAGAGAAAACATTGCAGTGTGCTTCTCCTACAGTCCAACGTTCTCCTACTTTAAACTTTTATTATAGATTTTATAGGGTTTTTTTTTACTGTTAAATAGGATTCTTATTTTGTATAACATCATAACAGAGCATACCAACTTAACTCTTCAGTAACTTCACCCTTTAGTTACATTATTCAGTATACAGAAAATAAATGAGTAGAAGTCTGTTCAGTTTAATGGGTGTAATAGGAATAAATAAATGTACGATTATACGCCACGATATACTACGTCTGCCTTTTGAGAATCCATTAACAATCTAACATAGTGTATTGGTAAAGTTAATTTATCCTGCTCTGTTATTCATTTTCCATGTAAAAAATCAAAGAACTCACAAATTTAACAGATAAATAAAGTTCAACAGCCCATATAATTATATGAATATAAAATGAAGACTTGATCAGCTTTCTTTATTTGAGCTTTCAAGAATCTTTTTATGCCTTTAACTAAAATGGCACCCTGAAAACAAACAATCCCCTGTAATCCACCCTACTTCTGTAATTTGACAAACCTGGCTTTCTACCATAATAAAAAATATTGCAAGATAGACTTAAAGGTGATTTTGCTTCCCCCTAATGAATTGATACTTTTTTTTCTGGTCTCTTACAAGCCCCATCCTGCAGGTACTTTTGGAAGGCAGCAATTCTCCAAATGAAACAAAGAAATCATTTCTGAGGTTCACCAGCATTACTGCTTGTGTTACCTGACTCAATGTGCATCCTTGCAGGATCTGATTCTTTAACCTCATCGGCCAGGACAAGTACTCACTATACGCTGCATCAAGAAAGTCATCACCACCCAGAGAACCAAAAATAAACTTCCCCAGGATTGCCCTTGGTAGCATACACACAATGCAGCTCTCCAGGGCAACTATTCATGGATGATGTCCACTGAAAGGATTATGGCCATTTCAAGCTAAAGAGTATATCTGGAGTACAATTTAATTCAGTTAAAATGTTTGTTTATGGCATGCAGACTACACAAACTTATGTGAAACTCATGTTTTTTAATCTTAAATGTGGGGGTTTGCTTTCTAGTAAAAACTTAAGGTTATTTCTCCCATGAGACATTGTCAACATTAGAAAATTAAATAGGAATACTGTTACCTCGCCTTCTCCCATATGTCCTTGCTGCATGTTAAATGAGAAAGAAAACAGCCTTTCAAACATTGTTATAAGGACCAAAAGACCTTGTTTAATCTTCTTTATACTAGCTCAGTGATTCTCAAGCCCTTCCATACTCCAGGTTATTTAAATTGGTATTCAAAAGCTTATCTCCCCACCACCCACAACACCATGCCTTCCTTGCACCATCTCGTTACTCATCGATAAGAAACATTGATAGGAGGCCAGCAAAGGATGTACGTGAACTCAAGAGGCTTTTTGAGACTGACTTTGGTTCTTAAATTGCACGTTCCTTTTAGCATCTATTCCTTCCTCCTCTGCGGGACGTATGCCTGTTAGGAAATGGATCTTTTCCCCTGCACCAGGCCTCTCGACACTCATCCTGCAGCGCACCGAGCTCCCTATCTCCCGAGCTTCGAGCAGACCCCAGCATCAACCTCCGAACTGTAGGAAAAGCCCAAACATAAGGAACATGAGGGACGAACGTGTTTATTTCTGGTTTGAGATTAGATCACTAAAAAAAGCTTTGCGCAACCCACAAAGCACGTGGTTAAGCTTTTAGTGGCAAACAACCAGCTAAAATCTTACAAGTCAGAGATAACATCTGGGCCACTAAAACTGGTTTTCAGACCTCCTGCATTCTGTGCTCATCAGTAGAGATTTTCATATACTAGCTTAGAAATTCACCGTAATTATTAGGCAGTCACCTACCACCGCCTCCTTTTCTCTCCCCCAAGCAAATCAGTTCTCCCACAGTATGACATTTTTTCGTTGCTGGCTTCCAGGACCTGTTGTCAGAATATGGCCAAGCTTTCTACTCAAACTTGCACATTCTTTCAGTTTTAAAGATAATCTCATTAAAATCTCTATCTGAAAGGAAGCCAATCGTTTTCAAAACTTGGATCCTCCTGGCAAGCGCTATGAGAAACTCTGAACACATCACACATTTTGTTTTGCTTCCTCTTTCAAAATTGAGCCTGACAATTAGTTGAAGCATTTAAATACTTGTAAACCACAACTAAACACAAGTAGCTTCCTCTTTCAGGATGAAATCATATCAATCCTATTTACTTCATGATTATTTAACATTGGTAGGATCATCTACTTCGCTGGTCTTTTGCAGATAGAAATATTCAAAATTAATGCCAAGATGGGAGAAAAAAAAAAAGAAAAGAAAACACAAATTTTAGTGTTCAGACCAGAACATACCCCCGAGTGCTCATGCAAGATATTAGCTTTACCAAAAACTGTAAGTTTAGGCCAAGGGCCCTTGCAAGTATAAACTCTCCAGAGTGATTTTTAATTTAGAAATCCAAGACACTGATGCAGTCCTCAAAGTGAAAGTTTTAATGAACTTGTCTCTCATGCAAAACAATCCGCAAGTTTACTGAGTTCCTGACAAAGTTCAGAAACTTTTGCACATTTTAAAAAACTTCAAGCACTTTCAAAGCCAGCCGTGCCTACAAAGCCATAAAATCTTGCCTGTGGTTTCTGAATTACTAACAAAACCACACAAGCGCCTGTGCTTGGTACGGCCGTTCTCGGCAACACCACGCTCAGCACAGACACAACTCCGCAGCTCTGTGACCGTGATCCAGGTCAGCAGACTCCTCACTGCTTTGCCACCTGTGTCATCCGGACAACAGGACTTTTCTCCTTTAGCAGTATGGAAAAGCAGCTCGGCCAACAGCTTTAAAGCATTTCCAATGCCAAACATTACTGAAGAGGTTTTGAGAAATCATTTTTTTTTTTTTAATTTACAGTAGGAAATATTCTGCATTTGCTTCCTCTAACCCGCAAAATACCAAGATGTGACATTTCAAAACACTCCTCGGCAGCCACAGACTATAAATCAGCCCAGTGCAACATGGACAGAAACTTTCTCTCCGAGTTGAATTCAAAGGCCATCACATGCCATTAATTTCCCACAATGTAATACAAGCCCGAAACAAAAGGACGCTCTTTTGGCAGGCAGGCAGGCGGCTAACTGCAACGCACCCATCCTGCCTCTGGCTTCCAGAATTTCATATTCAGAGAAATCTTTGCTCTGGACGTGCCCTAGCTAAGCCTGAACGCAAGTGATACGTTAAGGTGATCGTTTACAACAGGAAGGAGACTTAATTCTAAAGATTTATATCTGCCTATTCCATGGGGAGAAATAGGAGAACTACAGTATGGTTTGGGATTCCTGAAATCTAGTTGTTTCTGTTTCTTTCAAGTTTCGGGAAAATGCATCCAGGGCTTAGGACAGATTTACTGACCTTGTAAGGTATTTGAGCAAGAATTATATCACAAAACCTATAAACAAAAAGCGTTTATACAACCCACTCAACTGCTTCTTAATGACTCACGAAAAGATGTTTTCCTATTCAATCTGCACAAAATATCAAATGCTCTTGAGCATTTACTTCAATCCTTTGTCATCTCAGCCCTCCTTGCAACACTTTTATGCAATAACGTAGCTCCAATTAAATGTGCTCAGCTTTTTTTTCTTTATAGGAAGCACCAAAACAACTGTCAGCATGAGGTGCAGAAACCCACATGCAATTCTGTAAACAGGCTCTCGGTCCTTCTATAAAGCATCTTTATAAAAAAAAAATCTTCATAAAACATCTTTATAGAAGGACCTAGAGCCCTTTATAAAAGGGCCTAGAGCCCGGTGACAGAGACACCTTGCTGAAGGTCCATGAAAAACGCGTGAGACTGTTCTGGGTCCCTTAAGCCTCAAAATTACTACAAGCTGCTTCTGCAAACAGATCCCTCTTTAATGATTTCTTGCCGTTGGAGCTACCTACCTTATGGCAGTGGCTGCAAGGAGACTTTGTGCCAGGGAGGGTTGAACTCAGGCCAGTACAAGCTGTAAAGTGCTTCACACAAAGGGATAGCAAGCACGATGCCTATGCTTAATGGAGAATGTCACCCCAGATTTCCAAACCACAGGACAACCAGGAGCAGTTACTCAAGCACTGAAAAGCCTGTGTATTAAACTATTTAATATAAATGTAACAGCCCCATGTAATGAACAGAGCAATTGTATGTGCCAAGTTAAAGTATGGGGTTATCTTCTTTAGCACTAATTTGCCAGCATTGTTTTAAGATTGGCAAATCCCAGGTTGATGTAATACCTGTCCAAGGTGCCCAATTCACATGTTTAGTCCAAGCACTCCTGGAGGCACCGGTTCTGTTCTCCACCTTGGCACACAGGCCAATATAACAACACCCTGCCTTTTTTCACTCTCATGCTAGTCACTCATATGCTGTCCCTGGAATATCAACATCGACTGGTTTCATTAGTTCCATGCAATTTCAGGTTCCTATGCACATTATCAGTGAAGTGATATTTTTAAATTTTAAGAGGGACAAACATTCATGTTAAGCTTTTGTTTCATAATCAAGCTCTTCCATAATCTGACCATAAGCACAAGTATGATCCAGTCACATCCTTTTACTGGGAATTAGTTCCACCACTGAGATAATTTTTTATTATTTATATTCATGAAAGCTAGGAAAGTTATGCCAATTGGAATATATCTTCATAATCTACACCAATCACGCACTTCGGCCTGAGCTTTTAGAAAAACAGAAATATCGAAGAGTCACAGAATTATTTCTAGGGGAGCTGGGTATCTTTAAACTATTACACAGAATATGCTTCCACGAGTTTTATTTTTAAATTATAGAAAAATAACTGAACTAGATATAAGGTGCTCTTGTAGGACTTATTTCTACAATATTCTACAGTAAACTGTATTTTGTATGAGAAGAGCATTAAAATATGAATAATAAATATGACTGTTTATTAAAATTTTTCTCTCCATCCTCTAAAGCCAGGCGGGTTGGATTATGACTCAAGTTAGATTTTTATCATACTTTATATTTCATAATGCATTTCATAAGCAATGCATAGATCATGTGTTTTAAGTAAATTCTATCACAGAGTTCACACAATGTGTGTAAGAACATCTCAATCTTGGCTTTACTTTTGAGAAAATAACTTTATCCATAATCAAATCAAAAGCAGAAAAACAAAAGTGATATGGAACATCTACATTTGAATAGCCCATGGTTAAATTATCTACGCATATGAAGCGGCAATTCAGAGTCCAAATAGGATGTTTTCAAGTGAATATACAAAGTAGAACTAATAGTGAAACCATCAGCATCTATACATAAAGGTGAGAGATTTTTTTTCTGATTAAATGCGTTTCGCAACTGAAGTTTTACATGACATTTTCCATCTGAAGTAAGACAATATGGTAAACTATTCTAGAGCGTGGGGAAAAAAAAAAAGGCTTTTTATACATTCCTTTATTTAAAATATTGAGGACAAAAGAATTAGGCCACAGTTCCATGATTAGTAACACAAATTATCCTGTCAAATTATCCTTGGTACACAACACAGTTATGTTGCTGTGACAGATGCTAAAGATGAAGAGTGGCGCAGACACCTAATACCTGATCCACCATAAAAACTGTCAATATAGAAGGAATCTTTCAAAATTAAGAAAAATATCGGAACTGACAGCAAATTTATTCCATATCAGAACTCTGCATCTTACCAGCCACAGCCATCTGCAGGATACTGTCAAATGAGATCGCTGTTTTAAAACTGTTGCCAAAGACAAGCTACTAAAAAGGGACACACAAGAGACCATATAACAGAGGTTTCAAATACTGCCAAACTTCAAAGAATGAAGAACATTAAAACAGTATTTTCTTAACGAAAGACAATCTTAGAAAAAGTAAACACCTCTGTATATACATCTCAAGAATGCATATTTGTCACACTTTCAGCTGTGTCAAAATCAGCATGAAACCAAAAAAAGTAGAGTACATTTGGCTGCACTGAAAACATCAAGGACTGACACCTCTGGAATACTGATTCTGCAGAATTAAGCAGCAGATGTCAAAATTGCTTTTTTTCTCCTAATTTCTTTTCAAATAAACATAGGATAAAAAACAGCATGTGATGAGAAATATCACTCCAATTTAAGAGGTCTTTGTAT